ATTCACATTGCGCCAGGTCGCTTGTGGCTCGTACTCACCTCCTCCTCCGCCCTCGCCAGGCTTCATCGCATTGTACTTCTCGTACATGAAGCCTGCGTAACTTCGAGCAATGCCTATGTCCCACAAGAAAGCGGTTCATAGACGCATCAGGGTCCTAAAAAGACAAAGGCAGAAAGCTCCTGCAGCCACAAGTTGCATTGGACACAACTCCTGCCTGATTTCTCCCAGGCAGCATGGCAACTCTGCAGCCAGCTCTCCGCCAGCTGCTGGGCAAGGCCGCTGGCAATGGGCTCAAGGCCTTCCAAAAGGAGAATGAACATGGGCCCTCGGAGGTTGGACCCGGGCAAGCAACTTTGAACCTCACAAAACCCCAAACCCTAAACACTCTAAGCTTACTCCTCACAATGTAAATCCACACTACCTAACAATCTAAAAGCCCTCGGCTTCCTACAAATCGAAACTCCCACCCTCAAATCCCAAACCTCCTCAGACAAGTACCACAGACTCGTTGAGCCCAAACACAGTTTGAACGCTAACAGAAACAAACTTCCTCAACCCTGGAAGCCCTAAACCACAAAAACCTGCAGCCCGAAATAACTCCCACACCCAAAGGCAGTGATTCCTAAACCCCAAACAATCTGAAGCCCTCAACCCTGCACCCTAAAACCCTAAATTTAAACCCCACCTGCAAAAGACAAATCCTACCAACACCAAACCTCCGCCTGTGAAGCAGTGTAAACCTTGCAGCTAAACTATCTAAGGTGTTTGTGGTGTTTCCCACAAAAACGGACAAAGTGCAAGCACAACATGTTCTGATCTGGGGTGCAATCACTCGGCGCTCGGCACCGAAGCCAAGCACGACCCCACGCCACGAAAAGCTCATGCCTTCAATGAGCATGTGCTGCAGCGGCGGCCAAGCATTGGGTGCATCCCACCTGAACATCACAGTTTGAGGTCGTGTGAGGTTTCAGTGCTGGATCCTCAGCAGAAGAGCTGCAATTGAGTGGTAGGCAGTGAAGCTGCCAAGCAGGGAAATTCAGGAACCCGACGGAACCCCCGTTTCAGCTCGAAACGCTACGGAACGCTAGGGGCCAAAGGTTGGCACGTCCACAAACGGGCCATCCCACGCAGTCCCTGCTGCTTGGCGACTGCGTAGCCCCAGCAGTGTCCACCGCAGTAGTTGCACTGCCCCCTGGCTGCAGGAGCCCGCTCTGCTCAAGGCTCTTGATGAAGTTATCCTGAAAACAGCATACGTCATTTCCACATAAACCCTGGCTTGTTCCGTTAAAAGGAAGAGCTTCGCCTTTCCTTCCCGGCCTCTTGTCGGAGACCAGCCCAGAGAGGTGCAGCCCAGTTTGACAGTGCAATCACCTGCAAACAGGTCAGCCTGTCATGGTGACTTGTCGATGCGGAGCTTTCACAAACTTCAGAACGTTCATTCAAGTTAGTCCCCTTACTCTCCGAGCTGGCAACGAGTTCGGGGCTGACTGTCACCTTGCTTACTCAGAAATACGTTTGATCCAAACAGACACAAGTCCAACACCCAGGTCAGGTTTGGCATGATTGCCGCGAGGTCTGGGCTGCAACGTTTGGTAAGGGACAAGATGGCAGGCTGCAAGCTTGTGCGCTGCATGCTGTTTTGTTACGGTGCCTCACCCAGTGCTTCCCGAGTCACACCACAGTGCAAAAGAAAGCGATGCATGATGTGCCTTTGAACTGCGGCCCGCATCCAAGTGGTAGTCAAAGTAACACTTGGCCGCGTCGTCCCAAAGAACAGCTTCCTTGCAGGCACAGGTGCTCTCCAGGTGAGAACGGAACATCTCGTTTTGTTCCATTCCAAGCGGCGATTGCTGCTCTTCTGTCAAAAGCTGCCTTCCTATGTGCCTGCGCCTCCGCCGACTTCCTCAGATACCATGTCAGAACAGCTACCTTTGCCCCAAAATGACAAAATATCAACTAAATGATCCGAGGCAAGCGCGCTAGGATCTCATGGGCCCGAGCCAGCCCTTCCTCCACCTTGGCTCGTGGGCCCTTGAGCGGACGATCCTGCCCCCCAGGTTAGCCAAGAAGCCTTCAATAGAAAACAATTCAGGTCGACAGGGACGATCTTGTGCCTTGGCTGCTCGCCCCGAGCGGGCACGTACAAGCAAAAACGCAAACACAATTCATTTGCACCTACAGCTTGCAAGGACATGCCAAAGTCCAGCCAAATTCAGCGCAAGTGGCGTCTTCATAGTTTCCAATCTGAAGCAGTGCCGTCACGCGCGAATCCACAGACACAGAAGAGTGTGATGCGTCGAACCCGCCTGGCTTGTGGCAGCAATGACTCGTCACCTAGGTAGGCACCAGGAAAATGACTCAACATACCAGGAAAAAACTCAAAATCGCAAAGCGCAGGCCCAAACCAAGCTTCAGGTCGAGCAACTGTCATCCAGCCATCGGGTTGAGAAATCCCAGCCGCTCTCCGCCCCTGCGCAAAGCCCTCGATACCTTGGCTACCGCTTGGTGCACGTAGCCCACCCAACTCGGTGCTGCCAAGTCACGCTTCCACAGGCTCCAAGCCCCTCCCACCTTGGCCAAGGCTTTGTCTCAGCCTACGGCAGCTCGAGTTGAACTTGTGCCCGAAACGATCTGTTTAAGACCAGCAGCGGGCAGCTCGCGCCGTCTCCAAATCCTCCAGGTAGGACTCCTTGTGTTTGACACCGGCTTCGCATTCGCCCGTCTCCGACCCTCCCTGCAAGCCCCGAAGCCCACCAGCCCAGCTGCAGGTGTGGTCCAAGGCTCTGGTCGAGGACCCTCACGTGCCGAGCGGTACACATTCAGTTTGCCGCTCGCCGTCACGACCTGGGCTGGCCCGCTGGGCTGGCCCGCTGGGCTGGCCCGCTGGGCTGGCCCACTGGGCTGGACCGCATGCCTGCCTTCCTGATGGCAACACTGTGGGCAAGTGCCTGGTGCAAGCATGGCGCAACGTGCGCGGAGCCATCCCGCATCCAGAAGGAGTACTCGTCCACTAGCGTCGGCAAGACCTTCAAGCCACTTAGGGTATACAATTGCACAGCTCGAAGTGGGCAAAGCTTAGCTTGCTGCCCTGGCACCTGGCTCAGCCAGTCCTTGTCCTCTGTCACGTCGAAGATTGCTAGGGCCATGTCGGTTAGGAGCGGCGGATGGGAGCGATCCAAATAATAGACCCGGCTGCCATTGGGAATAAACCCAACTCTGGCGACTGAATCCAGGAAATTTTCGACTATGCCCTTGGCAGTCTCGATCATTCCACAGACCAACAAGCCACGGATGACCCAGTAAGAGTCCCAGTAGTAGGACTCCAAAAAGCGCCCTCCTGGAACAATTGTTGGGTGCGGTTGAATCAAAAAGCTGCACCTGTGCTGCAGGTAGCCCGCCCGCTGCCTACGCCCCAGTTTAGCCCAGAAGCGATTCATGGCCGAAGCCCAGTCTCTCCGCTCCGGCTGTACTAAGGCCAGGAAGGGAGGTGACTCCTGGCAGTCTGGCGGCGTCCATTCCTCCAGGTCAGCGCCCGAAGCTTCGAAAAATCTAGAGACGAAGTCCGCCAGGGCCTTCTTGTCGGTTTTGTCTGCCAGCTTCTGAAATTCCGCCAAAACAGTCTCAGGGTCCTCCTTCAGCGGCATATCCACGAAATGCTTGCCATCCTGCATCGCACTTCCAGTGGCAAGAATTAATCTCACCTCCTTCGTTCCCTCTTGCCCTCTGAATCTTGCATGTCCATATCAATATGTTCTGTGACTGCACCCCTGCCAAATTTGACACCAAGTCCTTGAAAAGGCGAGCCGTCTGGACAGCCTATGCCCATGCAGATGCAGGAAATGGCTGCAAAAGGCTGCCGCGCACCGCACCACGTGGGCGTAAAACCAGGGCCCCAGCAAATTGTAGTTGTCCTTTAAAGCCTTTGGTTCCCTTCACAGGCCACCCCAAAAGGGGGGCCCTCAAATGCACACACACACACACACACTCCTCCAAGCCCAGCCCTGCAGCCCGGCTACTGCCAGCAGCGGTCCGCCACAGAAGATGCTTCCCACACGGGCCAGGTCGCCACTGAGGCGGCGGCCGTCTGCGCAGCGAAGGCCATCCTGAAAGCCGGACTGCCCGTTGTCAACATGATTGTTTTCTTTTTAAAGGATGGTACCCTAAGGGTTGGCTAGGGAACCGAAAAGGAAATTCAGATTGCATAAGTTTCCCACCGCATGTTTGGACACATTAGCCAGTTGAAACTGTTGCCGACTCCTCCAGTCGGACAGTCGGAACCAACGCCTTCCTCAACGTGGGGTTTCAGACCACGCCTCCTTCGCAGCCACTTCGACTTCGGTGGCCATTGCAGTCGGGAACTATGCACAAAACTTAAGAACTGGCAGGCGGCAGGGCGGTCGCTTCTTGCACATGAAGGCATCTCTGTGCCACAAGCCACGCTGGCCTTGGTGCCCCGGGCATCTTTGGCCTCAGCATCTCACATGGGAGAGCGTCAAGAAGACTCCAAGCCTAGGACCCGCAGCCACTGGTTGTGCACCTGCCAGCTTTCGAGGCCAGGACGCAACCCAAATGTCCCACCCGAACCTTGCGAACAAAGTCCCTGGCAAATGCGCATTCACCCTGAAGGGGCCGGCCAAGACAAGCGATGAGTTGTTTGTTTGCTTCTGGTGGCCTCTGCAAGCTCCCCTTGCAGCCCACATTCCGCATCCCAGCCTCGGTCTGAATTCCCCAACGCAGTCACTCAGTACCCCCCTGTGATTCGGATGCCGGGCAGCGTGCCAACCTGCACTTTCTTCGAGTCCTGGGCCAACACAGCAGTCCACTGAGTGGAGTTGCCATCTGAGGGGCGGGGCTGCACCGCAAAGCACGGTGCTCAGAATGCGGTCTCGGGCTTCTGCCTCACCAAAGCGAAATGGTCGTCGGCTTGGCTCGGGCTTAGACCTCACCATTTGCGCCTCTTGGCTGCTCGGGACGTCAAAGTGGAAATGCTCCCGCAGCAGAGCACGGCCTTGTCTGGGGCCGGCCCCTCCACTGACCCAGTTCTGCACACTCCGAGAGAAGGACGCCGCAAGCTCAGCTGGCCCAGGTCAGCATAGGTGATACACAGCTCCTCACCCTGCCATGCACGCAGTAAGCGTGGCAGCGAGTGAGCACCTCAGCCTCTGGAACTGGCCGACATGTGCGAATCACCAGCTGACGGCCCACAAAGCTCTGCAGGCAGTTGGGCTCCTGGCTGATAGGGACCGATCTGCTCAAAAGACAGGCCTTTCATACATCCCCAGTGACTCTTGGCAACAATTTCCTTCCGACCCTGAGCCTACCCTCGACAAACAATCCCTCAACCAACCCCAAACCAGCACGCTGCTTGCCAGGCTGTTTGCCAGCAAATCAAGACCAACCTCAAATCCAAGCGCGCGCAAGCAACTGGAAAGGACTCAATCATGCAGGCGACGGGTCACAGTTTGCAAAGAAACACAACAAAGGCGTGCAGCTTTGCCCACCCGTCACACAGAACTGAGGTGAAAAGCGTGAACCCGGTTGAGGTCATTTCCCTCCCTCTCGGTACGAGCCGTCCTCTGCATGGTTGAAAACGGCCGCACGGATGTAGAGCCCCAACCCCACCTCCCTGAGTTCCTGGGAAGTTGCTTGTGTTCACTCAGGCTCAGGCAGTTTCCCGTTAATTACCGTTTGGCAAGCCTCATCTGTCACCGTGAAGGCATTAACGTCCACCGCAGCGAGGAATTGAGCCGTCTGTCCTTTGCCCATCAACTCATATCAAGCTCGCTTCTGAGAGGGCGGAGGTTTTGCTGGGCTGTTGGCTTTCCAGTTTGCAAAAGGGCTGCCAAGTGTGGGACTGGGAATTCGAGTTGGAAACTGCGCGCGGTGGCGCGGACGGCGAAGCCGGGGGCCGCGCTGACGTTGGCAACTGCCTGGAAGGCTTGCCTCGCCTCCGGCACCTCCAGGCCCAAGGACATGCAATGTCAGTCCACATACATGACCAGTGAAAAAGCAACATGACCAAACGAAAAACACAAAAGACATAGGTAAACAGTGGTAGACGCTGAACAAGTCAAACACTAAAACCCGTCTCAAACTCGCAGGCCTCCTCTTCGCCGAAAAGGCCAAGGCCAGCAGCTAAAACATCGAGACCTGCCGGAATGAGCCGAACTGGACCGTGGAGAAGAAAAGAAGAAGATTTGGGGTTCGCACAGCGTGCCGCGCTTTCTTCCAGCTGCTGCTGCCGCGCTTCAGAAAGCTCCTAGCAAGGGCTCGGCTCGCGTTGCCGGGTGCAGGGTGTGCACAGCAAAGGCCTCCCAATGGCTCTCGAGGCCCTGCCTGGGTGCACGCGAGCCGCGATTCGCGTGTTCGCGTGTTTGTGTGCATGGGTGCGAGTACCCTTTTTGGGGTTGGTTTAAACGGAAACCCAAGGAAAAACAACAACCTTTTCCGGGGTCCCCATATCTTGACACATACCCGCATGTTTGTTCTCCCACTCTTGAGTCGTTCCTCCACCCGATTCACATGCGAAGGAGGGTTTGCTCACCTCCCAAGTTGGGGCAGTTCAGGGGATGCCAATATGATCAGAGCTTCTTGAAACAGCAAAGGGCAAGCATGGCACTTGTGTCAATGCCAGGCATGGCGACAAGCCAACAGCTTCCGAGGTCGTTGACGTGCCGCAGCTAAAGTTGAAACTGCGCTTCTGGCCGCTTGATCCGTCTTAAAACAAATATGTGAGGGATTTTCGCGAGTTTCGACTGTGCACATTTGGGCGCAGATCCGCGCGAGGATGGAAACCTTCAACAGCAAAAATGGGTTGGAGCCAAATGAGTGACGAGCAGATTTGGACAAGATACGTCCATGGCAATGCGTGGCATTCCTCACTATTGAGGGAATGGCTCCAGTATGCTACGCGCAGTGTTTGATGGCCTCGGCCCCAATGAATTGTCATACACATTCCTTTGCATGTCACTTAGAACGGAGCACGCCTCCTTTTTCCTTTGCAAGCCCGATGCAACGCAGTTCCAAACCCTACCATAGGGATTTGCTTTGGGATGTCTGTCAGGCTTCTCCTCCTGACAGACAGATGCTTTTGGCATCATGGTCAGAGACCCTATGTGGACACCCTGTCCAGGAATCTCCCTCCCGACCATGCCAAAAACATCAGCGCGCCCTGCGCACACCCCAGCCCGAAAAAGTCGTGGGCCTTCAAACGGAGAGATTACCCGAACGTCGGGTCCCTCCGCAGGGTGGGTGGGTGGGACTCAAAAATAGCCAGTTTGGATCAAGGCCACTTGAGTCCCAAAATGGCAAGACATCAAGGAATGATAAATGCATACCCAAGCCTACCAAACTCAATGCATTCACACATTCCTTTGCATGTCACTTAGAACGGAGCACGCCTCCTTTTTCCTTTGCAAGCCCGATGCAACGCAGTTCCAAACCCTACCATAGGGATTTGCTTTGGGATGTCTGTCAGGCTTCTCCTCCTGCCAGACAGATGCTTTTGACATCATGCTCATACACCAATGCACTATCCCAAAGCACTTTACAGAAACTGCATAACGAGCACCAAGGCGGGCAGTGGCAACTGCCACAGCTCAAACGGGAAAAAGGCATCCTCCGTTGAAAAGCCATGTGCCCTGTGCCATGGATCCGACCGGCCCAACCGGCTAATGGCATCTGCCCAGTTGCTCTTCGTGGGGACCCACTCCCAGTAAAACCACGCGCCAAGAGCGAAGAGCATAATGTGGATCTGCCGGACCATCAGATCCAGGTCAGGGCTGTCAGAACGCCCACGCACCAGGGCCATCAGGGATGCCACATTATCGATGTACCAAATCCCCTCCTGCCCCGGAAGCGCTGCGCTCTTTCGACCAGGGCATACTGGATCATCAGCATCTCTAGCTGTGATCGCCCGGGCTCCACAAGTTATACAACGTGGGTGGGAGACACGCCACAAAGCCCTCCCGACCTTGGGCATGTGTGTCGACCCACACAACTAGGAATCCGCCGGCCCCGCACCTTGGGGCCTCCAAGCCTCCAAGGCCGCATCCGAAGCGGCAAAGAAGCGCGGCACCTCGCGCCAGGTCACCTCGACCTCCCGCATGGGTTTGCTGCGCACGACGGCCTCCAACACGTCGAGGCAACCACGGATTGCAGGAGTAAGCCGAGTCTCCTTCTCGGCCTGGCGGTCCTTGATGGCACTCAGCCCGGAGCACCCGACCCGGCCGAACACTCCCAGCTCAAAGAAGTTGGCCAAGCCATAGAGCTTGGATGCCTGTCCCGGAGGTAAGCGGTCGTTGCCCCGGCATGCCCGGATGTAGCCCATCAGCTTCTCCTGCAAACGCTCTCGAGCCCAGAACCGAACGACTCCTTCGGTGTGCACTGCACCCAAATGGTGGTCGAGGCCCAGAAAAGTCCCATCCGGGGCCATAGGCTGGTCCGCTGACCACTGCCCTTGCTGCTCCGCCAGTCTATGATGTTGGCATCATCGAAGTACATGGTGCAAAGCACGTACACCAGCCGCCGGGCTAGGCTCTCTACCAGTCGCGAAAACCGGTTGAAGGATGTAACTGCAAGCGGCAGCCCAAAAAGAAGCCCGCCATAAACCTGAAATGCGGGGAAGCCCCACTGGTGGTGGAAGAAGGCCACCACGCACCCAAGGGACTCCTCGTCCCCCATGGGTGAGTGCTTGTAGGCATTGGGCCAGTCCTCACCACCCGATTCCCAACCGTCATCTCGAGACTCTGCCACCTGCGCAGCTGTCATGTGCCTCATGACTGCTGCAACATGAGCCGCCGGCCTCAGCGGCGTGCAGAGGACGAGTTTGTTGGAGTCTTGGGAGCGCTCAGATTGTCCGCCAGCATCGGCGTTGTCAATGATACGCTTTTTGCCTGATGACTGCACGATGATACAACGTGGAATTAACCGACACGGTCGCTGCTGAAAGAAAGAATCCGCATCCACATGCTGTGGAGGGAGCGGTCGACTCCGCCCTTCCATGTGTGAGCGCAGCTCCGCCCAGGTCTTCAGGGCATTGATGATGGTTGCCCGCTCAGAGGAGGTCACCAAATGTTGAGCTCGCCGCCGGCATGAGGCCTCCCACTCCCCGGTCGGCCTCATGGCACGAAAGCCCATCAGCGCCCCAGCTAAGACCTCCACATGCCTCAGGACTTCCGCTGGGTGATCCGGGCCCACCGCGCGCTGGCAACAGGCGCTCGTACGCCAGGCTCGCCACCTCCAACCAGGCTTCAGCCAGCGCGGTTCCGCCTTGCGCGTAGGCGTCCTCCTCGGACAGGAACATGAAAGCGAAGTCGTCATCCCGCTCCAGTCCACGTGCACGCCTCCATGCACGCACATGATCAGCGGCCACCGCTGAGGAGGATGACGCACCGGGCTCTGTCACCTCAGAGCCCATTGCCATCACCTGCCGGGCGTAGATGCCCCGTGGCTGCATTGCCATGGCGAGGCAGAGGGCTAGACACGGAAACCACCCTGCAAGCCGAGCATAGAAGGGTCTCCACCGATTCCCTAGGGGGTCCCACATCGCAGGCAAGGTAAGCCCAGGATTGCCGACCCATGCCGATGCCTCCCCAACCAATGGGCCATTGCCCGGCCTGCTGCACCACGCCCATCCAGCGGCAGGTTGAGCGCGTCGACGGGGTCCACCCACACAACAGACCCCACCTGCCAGCGCCTCCAGGCCACCAGGAACATTTCGAGGTCCACATCGCAACCCGGGGGGCCACGAACAGCGTGTACCTCGGGCGGAGCCATGTCTCCGAGCGTCCAGCGGCTGCGCGCCATCTCGATGCCCAAGAGATCGAGGACATCATGGTGTCGATGGTAACGGTCCCAAACAATGGAGGCACTCTCACCATCGAGCCAGCACATGCCGCCGAGTCCAGATGCCAATCCACGGGAATCTGAAACCCCCAACGCGGTCCCTGCACCTCTGACACGGTTCCTCAGTGCAAGGCAAAAGCAAAATGGGGGGCAAACCAGGGACCTCAAAAGCACTCTCCCCGTCCCCCGAAAAAAAATGCAGCACCATCCCAACCGACTGCCACAGCCGAAGAGTGGCGACCCGGTCCCCCCGGGCCTGCACTCGGATGACGTGCTGCTTAAAGTCCCACCATGCCGCTGGAGACAGCATCTCGAACACCGTGTGCACCGCCACATCGATGCCAGGACGCAGCAGAGGCATGGTAACAGACTCAAAAATAGCCAGTTTGGATCAAGGCCACTTGAGTCCCAAAATGGCAAGACATCAAGGAATGATAAATGCATACCCAAGCCTACCAAACTCAATGCATTCACAAGAACGCTCAAGGGTACTAAACGTGCCAACCGGTCAACAGGAGCAGCGTGCACTCTGCCTCTCTACCTGGACTCACCTTGCACCAGCATGCCCCATCACATCTACCTCCGGGATTGCACAAGCCAGCAACCTGCCCAAAAGCTGACCAGCATCCCTGGTGTGGAATTGGCTTGCTGCAGCAATCTCCACCAGCACCAATGCCCGCACGCTCCCCAAACCACATTGCCAAGCCCAGGCACCTTGCTTCCCGAATTAACCCCTTGAGTTGCCCGCCATGGTTGCTCCGCAGCTTTCACCTGAAGCAATACACGCACTCACGGGCGGCAGGGAGGAGGCAGGTGGCTACAAGGCACCATGTGCTCTATATAAGTTATATAAGCGAGCCAGCATCGCCCCTCTCTGAAGAGCCTGACGCAGCTCAGAAATCTGTCGCACATGAAGCAGCTTCACATAACCTTCGCTTTACGTAAGGCTTGCTTTCAAGCTTCTTTTTGAGACCCGGCTTCTGCTCCCCTTCTCTATCTGGTGGGTGCCCAAGCCCTGGCGCGCCCTCAAGGCCAGGCGCAAACTGGCAGGCCAGTCGCGCCAAGGAGGTGGACCGCGTGTGCCTTGGCTACCAACGCAAGGCAGCAGGCAGCAAATCAACTACCACTATATGAGACAGCGTCAAAATTACTTGTCTGGGGTGTATTCATTTGGTGTTAGGATGTCCCGTATCGTTTTACAGGTTTTGCTTAAAAAGGACGTCCCGTATCGTTTTGCAGGCCTTGGATACGGGACACATCCCTGCCCCCGTGCTTGCTACCAAACGATTCTTTGCGGGGACAGCGCCAACGAAACAGCAACGGAATGGAAGCTCCCACAAGCGGGCGTTCCCCGGTATAAAGCCACACGGCGGCCAAAGCGCAATCCCTGCAAGCAAAGCAACTCACACCACGGAAACTCACGCAGTGTTGCGTCAATGTAGTTCCTCACCCGCTTGGCTGCTGGAGCTGGAGTTGTTCGCTTCACACCCATGCAGCCGCTTGGGGAGAAAGGACGAGGCTGCGTCCAAAGATGCTTGTCACGCCCCCGCGGCACCGCCGGCGCTGGAGCCGCAAGGCTGGCTTCCTCACCGCGGTGGTCTTCTTCACCTTCTCGCGGGCACTCTTCGCGATCACCTTGACAATTGCTTTTCCGCGCTGTTCGGCTCAGCCTTTGGAGCCGAGGCAGCTCTCTCTATGCGAGCATGCTGCCCCTCCTGGGTCAAAGCTTTCCACTTCTCCTCAACACGCACTCCTCAACCCATCGTGACTCAACCAGCGCCGCCGGTTTGTGGCTGCACGGCTGCGAGGCTGCCTGGCAATTCCTGGCATTACAATCCTTGCTCTCCAGCATTGCAGTTCTTTCACACCCCCAAATGTGTGTCTCCTCGTAACTGCAGGGGTAGCGCTTTGGTGTCAAGTGGGCCACCCCCGACATTTAGCATCCTGCCCCATTGCGGGGGTATCGTCGGGGTATCGTTTTGGGGTATCGTTTTGGTGGTCGGTTTTTTCTCGAAGCGGCGCTGTTTGACAACTGTCTTACTTCCGCCCTAAGGAGCCTCAGAGAAGCGCTGGAGCGTGCAAAATGCAGTCCTGCAGTTTGCTTGCGGCCGAAGAAAGGTAACCTCCCAAGCACCTTGCGTGGCCAGCAAAAGGGCAAGCCAGCGGGACATCCTCAGAATGCATAATGCGTCTTGGTTTCCGTCTATGGACGCTCCACCCTCCAGCTCTCGCGCTTTCTAGCCTTTTTCGTAGCTTTTTCATGCGCAGAGTGCAGATGCACGCATTCTTCGAAAGAGCTCGCTCATTTAGTTCCAGTATTGCGCAAGTTCCTTCTGAACTTCGTTGACCAAACGGAGAACTACAGTTGCACCCCTTCTAAACTTCCTTGACTGAACCCAGCACTACTTTTACATCCCCTTCAAAAATGCAAACGCTGTTTTGCCCAACTACAACTCGTGATGCTTTTTGCTGGCCGGCAGTTACCCCTGCAATGTGGTGGACACATGCTAGAAACGTTCGCCCCGTTCAAGCACAGCTTGTTTTTGCCACACGTGTCTTGTCACAAGCCAGCTGGTGCTCCAAATGTGAAGTTCCCTTTTGATCCCCCTGCCCTGCAACCCTTGCAGAGGAAGGGCCTAGTTGCAAGTCTCGACCAAGCAAATAAACACATGCTCTAGGAGAACACACAAACTAACAAGACATTTTTGTTTGCAACCAATGCCAACTTGCTGAAGGGGTATCGTTTTTTTGGACGTCCCGTATCGTTTTTCGAGCAACAACGCAAACACAATACGTGCATGAAACACCCCCATATAAAGTACATGACGGTAATTTTGATGCTAACTCATATGGGTTTGTGTCCAAAATTTGGGGAGTCCCAAATTTAAAATAAGGTTTTCCTTTTGGTTTCCCTTCTAATCGTAAGGGGTGCCCTGAACCACCCCCGCACACACACACACATCCCATGGGTAATCCATCAAAACGCGTACCCTCAAAACACACATATCCTCTCTGAGCGCGATTCCCCGCACTTTCCTCCCGGCTTCGGCCTGAGTGTGCTTTGCTTGGAGCCCACACTTCCTCCGCAGCCTCTGCCCACTTCCTTAAGACCAAGACTGCCTCCAACTCCGCCTGGCGATAACCCACCGTGCGAGTCGGAATTAGAGGCCCGCCAGCCTTGTAGTACAAGTCGGCTGCTGCCTTCTGATCCTCCTGGCAGGGCTGGGCATCTGCAGCAGAGTAGCAGTATGCCATGGTGACAGCCAAACTGACCCCGCCCGCGTAGCAAAGTGCAAGCCAGTCACACGGCACCACCTGAGCCAGCGTGAAAATTACTTGTCTGGGGTATTCTCATTCCGACGTTAAGACGTCCCGCGCCGTTTCTCTGTGTTGTTTTCAAGTTTTGGGGTATCGTTTTTTGGACGTCCTGCATCGGTTTTCGAGAAAAACGACAGGTGCATCAAACACTCCAACATAAAGTAAATGACGGTAACTTTGAAGCTAACTCACCTCTCTTGCTCTCTTGCTCTCTCTCTCTCTCTCTTTCTCTCTCTCTCTCTCTCTGTCTCTTATTTCTATTCTTTGATCCTCACTCGCTCACTCACCCACCCACTCACTCACCCATTCATTCACTCACTCTCCCACCTTGGTGCAACTTGCTTCTCGAGCATGCTTGACTTTGGCCCCAGTGCACGGACTCTGCTTCCAAGCTGAAGAGCCCAAGTGCCATGACAAGCCAACTTCAAGCCAAGGAACAGCAAGCGCTCGCCACGCTGCAGCGAGAAGTCACAACCTCCAGCTGACATGTTGTGCTACGATGTGCTACGGGGACATATGCGTCCAGCAAGGCTCCGGCACTCCTGCTCTGGCAACAGCACCACGGCCCAAGGCTGCTCAGAAAGCACTACCTGCGTGAAGCTATGGTCGTTCAGGACGCAAATGATTGTCAGCCTTGGTGTCCTTTTGGCTTCCCTTCAAAAGAACAACTGAAAGGGGACCCAACATGTTCAAGACCTCCCACGCGAAGAAAAAATGGCGAAGCCCGGCCTCCCCAGCAGCCAGCGGACGTGCAGCCACAGCCGAACGCCCGCGACCTTTGAGCATTCACGAACCGATACGGATGTATTTGGGCATTGGACATGGCCTGGCAGGCGCGCGGCGCGAAAGCGCACGTCACCGCACATGGAGTGTTGGCGTGTGCAGTTGGAGAAACTTGGAAGGTCCATCAAGCCTAGGTTGCGTGGCGTTCTAGCCCATGCTGATTGCTGATTGTAAACACTCTGTGTCTCTGTTGGCCTGGCTGACGTGTAAACTTGTGGCATGAACAGGGGATATGGCCCGGTGCAGCACACACTCACTCAAATACTTCAATTCCTGTCTGCTGATTGCACTGCCAGTCTACGCAAGGCAGTCATGCCCTACTGTTGTCATTGATATGCCCAGCACGTAAGGCGGCCGGCAACCCTCGTCGCTGGAGAGCTAATGGTCGCGGCCATCATTTTGCGCTTCGCTCACAAGCGCATGGGAGGCCAACCATGATTCAATCATGGACATCCCAAAGCTTCAAAGCTTCTCTACAAGCAGTTCTGGGATCCAGATCTGCCGGAACAGCGCCCATAAGGGCGTTTCTCACAATGGGGGCCTTTGGTATGGAAGCTAACCGCCAGGGCCCAAAGTTTTGAGAACCACCCACGAAGTGCCGTCTGAATTCCGCATCACAATTCCAGTGAAGCGCTGGGTAGCACTGGGTAGGGTGTTGCCACCTCTGCCACTAGCCACGCGGAACGTGGTCAAAGCTTCAACACGGCAAGCACTTCAATGGGCTGTGAGTAAACATAGGCTTCAGTGCGGCAGAAACATAGGCCCAAAATAAGAGCCGAGAGCCAGACAAGCTGAGGCCCGTGGCTTGCCTGAACCAATGCCACCTTGCGTGCCCACCAGCACCCCCACAATATCCCACGCGCAGCCGCGGGAGGCTAGGCACAATGCCAAATGGGAGCTGTTCCCAGTGAGGCCCACAAGAGAGCCTCACAATTCTTACAATATGTTCACTGCATACGACTTCCACCATTCACACCACTAAAACCATTGCGGCGCATTGTTACCAGGCTAATTTGCACATCTGCACTTGCCACTTGCACACGCGCAAACGCCTTCTAGCTGTTGGTCAGCAGGAAACTTAGCAAGTGTCTCACCTTGCCAACCGATTGGCCCAGGCATCACAAAACTATCACAAAGCCCAACAGCCATCTAAGCACCGAACCAGATTCCAAGCTGACCGCCCAAACCTGTGGAAGCTGTCTTTGTCAGCACCTTCTCTCCTCCACTTGAAAGCAGAGCCTGACTTCGGACATCTGCTGCCCAAATGACTGCCTGGCAGCCAGTCAGACTCGAACCCTTGCTCCAAGCAAAATGGCCCATGCCTGATCATGGCGACAAGATGTGCTGCGGCAAAGTCGAAGACCTTGGACCTGCGCCAAAAAAGAAGAGCGCAGCCCTAAACAAACACGATTTGGCAGGCCGGCAGCAATCAGGGGCAGTATATCAATGATCAAACCGTTGGGTGATGTTCAACTTGAAATATAATACTTTGAATTGCGCTCTGTGATCGCTAATGCCTCCTTGTTTATTTCTTCATTTGCTGACTCATGCTTGCATGCTGTTTCTCTGCTTGTCTTGGTCGTTCGGTCGGTCGTGCTACGTGGAGCCTGATGGGGGGAATTCAGTTAGCAAGCGCCCTCATTCTTTGATGATTGTGCGTCTGGCGGAAACACATCTGGTGGGCATGATTCGTCTCCGCTTCGTCTTCGGCGGCTGTTCCTTCTTCTTTGCCTCTTTCTTCGTGTTGGATGCGCGTCTTCCTGTTCGTCTTCGATTGATGCTCGTCTTCATGGTTGCCTTCCCCCCCCCCCCCCACCCCCCAAAAAAAAGTGTTTCCGCAATGCGTACTGGAACGGGCAGCCTCCAAGCCAAGCTTTAGCTCCAGCACCACATCCATCGCTTGGCCTTCAAACAGGCAGAACATTTTGCGAGGACCGACTGCTCCTGCTTAGGCAGCTTGCCTGCCGTGGCAGGCAAACGACACAGGCTCAGCCTTGCAAGGTGCCGAAGTGCTTGGCGGCCCTCTAGGCCAAATGCGCTCACAGTAAGTACGGCTGCCTCTAACTTGGCCTGTTCCCCTTGCTTAGTGCCATGCGAGCCATCTGCGGTGCCAAGGATCAAGGCACTTGTACCCGAGGAGCCTTAAAGCCAAGGCACATGCGGTATCCGTGCTGAGACTGCCCAAATTGGCTCAGAGGCCCACCACTCAGGGCTGCAGCTGCAAGCCTTTCCGCTGAAGGGAGCCTCGAAGCCAGCGCGGATCAAGCTGGAAAACGCTAAGCCAACCGCCCCAACGAGCGCGCGACAAACCCTGATGGAATTTGCAAGACATTAAACTGGCCGATGCTGAGGTGCAAGCAGCGCAAACAAAGTGGCATTGCCCAAGCCCTGCTCCAGAATGCCTGCACATTGCAGACGTGCCACCAGAACATCCACAACAACCCATACATTGCCACCTGCAAAGCCATGTGGCACATACAGCTACATGCAATGATGAAACCCTGGTCCAGTTGCCTAATGGGCCACTCGATGTGCTCGGCAGTGTGGAATTGATCCAAGACCTCATCCCGGCTTTGCAGTGCTTAGCACCACATGTTCACCACTCGTGGCGCTGTTAAAAACCAAGCCCCGGTCTCATCCAGATCTTTGGTGCCAAAGTAGCCCTTCAATTGCAACTCAGCCCCTCTAAACATCTCTGCGTGTTTGTGCATCGGATCGCCCCAGGCCTCATCGCTGATCACTCCCAAGTGACCGTCGACAAGGCCAAGTCCTGTACCAACAGCAGAATCTGTTCCGAACCCCCCAACCTCTTTTTGCAAAACCTGACGGCCTACATCCGCTCCCCTCAACTCAACTGCATCGAGATCACCAGCCCGTGATCAAAACGTCCGCACTGACACCTGCCCTTTCCCACTCAAGCGCTGAAAGCACGGCCAGACCGTGTAGCACCCCGCGGCATCGAATCAAAAGACCTAGCCTCACTAAACACTAAACACTTCATCTGTTCACTCCCACACCCGCTCGAGGCGCTGCATCATCCACATCACCGGCCTTCTCCTCAAAAACCCTTGTGCAATCCATCATTGGCATTGCTCTCTCCACCAACCCAGGTGCCACATCCTGTGCCTAATCTTGCCCGGCTCTGATCCGGTCCATCTTTCTCGCCTTCCTCTCCCCTTCGACCCTGTTCACCCATCAGTCCTCTAGCTGTTCCTGGCACTGCTAGCGCTGGCCCTACCTTGCAAAGAGCAAGCAACAAAGCTAGCCATCTATATCCCTCACAATTCTGGGCATAAGTTAATCCAAGGCAGGAGCTGGCAGGAAGATTCCGGCCGCCCACTCAAACTTTTGAAGAATGCCATCAGACGCCTTGGTGGCATCGGCGGAGACGTCTTAGGTCACTGCCAGGAGGCGTGCTGCGAAGAGCAGTCCGTTGTCCACCAACTCCGCGGCCGAAGGTTGGAAGAAGGTCGGCCTGCAACGCACAGCACTCAGCCCACAAACCCCCACGCGGTTCTTGGGGCGCAGCCACTCCGTGGGCAAGACCTCCCAA